AGGAAAGGTAAGAAAAGAGTGGATATCACAGTAAACCTGCTTATAAAAAAATAATATTCAGGTAGACAAAATGTCCTGGCTTTGTATGCAACTTTGTGATGCATTTCTATGTTATATCTTTGAATTATATTAACACATCTGGAAGCAGATTAGACGAAACAAAAAGCAGCCAGTTTAGTTTAAAGGATTCAGTCATGAATGGTGTTGATAACAGCCCAAGGAGGTATGCTAAAAAAGCTATACATTGATAACTCAATATACTTAATATTAATGTCATGAAGGAATCACTTAACTTGGCTGGGTTATAATGACACCTTATCCACTTTATAGGAGGTTGTGTTCAGGGGTGAGATTTAAAAACCCAATGAAAAGAAAAAACAAAATATTTTTTGCAATTTTTGTTGCCAATAGATGGAGGAAAACAGATCAAAGGAGCAGGGGTCCTTTGATGAACACTTCACACTGCATCTCTGCTGCTCCCACTCATATGTCAGTGTCTGGTGTTGTATACAGTGTCATCAGGTCCCCGGCAATAATGTGTCAAAAATGTAGTGCTGCTTGCAGGTACGTTAGCATTACATTGGCAGTGCCAGTAATGGGAACCTTCTTTCCTTTAGGATTAACATCCACACTGCTCCATGTGAAATGCTTTGGACGAGTGGTTTTACGTGACCTTCCACAGGTATTAGCAGAGAACTACTGAGCAGATATACCCTCAAATCAGACATGGGGTTTTAGATCCAAGCCCTTTTCACCAGAAAAAGTAACCAAAGATGAAAGCTGAAAATTTTAAAAATGATTTTAAAAAATACTTCAATGCAGTTTAAGCCTGACATTTGAACCACACTTCCCCAGGTGAAAGCTTTCTGCATCTTTCTTTTAACACGCAATTCTTACAGTTAACACTACTCATCTTATCTGGCCTGGAAAGACACGCTGATAAGATTATGAGATACACTTGCAGGGAGTCCATTTCCAACTTGTGCTTTTGATTTTTTTTTTAATATATATTCTAAAGCGTTTTTAAAAATGACACCAAAACATGTTACCAATCCCACCTTTCATAGAAAATTAAGACCACAGCAGCTAAAAGGAGTTTTTTGATGGATGGATGGATATTCAGCTGTGTGGTTGGGTGATTGTTGGGAGATCGGCTCTTTATCAAACACCTGCTACAGCACAGAGCCGCTTGGAAAGCGGTCTGTTTGAGAATTAGTGCTGTGAGAGGAGCGCTTGGCATTGCATCTGAATATAGCTTTAATAAGGGCACCACTTACCCTCCAATAAGCTTGTTAGCGACTTACACTGTAAATGGCGGTTAGACAGATGATGGTAACCCATACAGTTAAACAGCAGGCTACAAAACAGCTCCGAGCGTGTAACAGCTGCCCAAACTGTAGCTAGCAGCAGGGTAGCCGGCTGGCTTTCATGTTAGTGATAGCATAGTATAATGGCAGCTAATGCTAGCAGGATGTTTGCTCTGAGCATACTCTACCAGTGTGTGACATTATTTTCGTGTTACGTAGTTTGAAATACATGTATCTAACGCTTTTCCCCACTTTAACCAATTCTGCTGAAGAACACATTTTAAAGTTGGGCGAGTTTAACAAGCTAGCTTAGGATTTAGATGGGCTAAAGTTGGTTTGTTGCTCATTACCGTTGCTTGGACGTTTAATCTACGCTGGCGTTGACGCTTTCCCTCCTCCATAGAAAGCTCTATTTTGTCGAGCAGTTCCCGAACAACTTGGCGTTGGTGGAAGTGGAAGGCTGGGTGCAGGGACGCCATAGTAAAAAGCAGCGCAATCTGCTCCAGAGGTCCTCCGGCTGTGTCGTTTGCAGAGAAGCCGCAGTCTTCTTCTGAACCTCCGTACATACTGTCGGCCTGACACGGCGAGTGAACGTGAGAGTCCCTAAATGGAGGGAGGGGGCAGTCGTAATTTCTGCAGAACAAGGCCGGGTTGACATGGCTGAGTATCCGAAAGAGTATTCCAGCACATTCCCTGCTGTCAGACCCGAGGAGGGACAGGCAGACTAGGAGTTTAGACCTGATCACTGGGTCAACCACGTCCGTTAACACTCCCAAATCGCTCGGACTATTTGCTCGAAACTCAAAGTCCCGTAAAACATGGTAATCTTTTCTAGCGAGATCCTCCAAGTAAGATCCTAAAAAACGGAGCTCCAGGGGTTGGCACATATGCAACAGCCCGCACATGAACTCGATACGCTTAGCAGGGTTTAGGTGCAGGCCGAACCACTCAAAGACGCTCTCCTTGTCCAGTTGTGCTGGATGCACCGGAGGTCTGGGCGAGTCCCCCAGCTTGTCATACGCCACGGAGGAAGATGCCGCCCCGAGAACATGTTGGTGCTTCGGCCGATCCAATGAATCGTTCTTAGCCGTTTGGTTACCTCCTTCCTCGCCCGTTTTCGTCGGTAGCTTCATTTTCAGCATTATCAGAGCTACGAGAGAGCCTTTAAAGTGTAGACGACGGACCAATATACATTACTGACAACCTAACACCGCCTCGTAATACTGATCAAGAACCGAATATCCGTCGTTTTACCGTGTTATTACTGTTAGCTAAGCATCTGACGCGGCGCCACTACAGAAGCCCTTTTCACGAAGTTACAGTCTTCTTCTACTCTGTATTAACGGCAGTGTGGCAACTACTGTTAGCTCATTGCTGCCACCGCGCGACTGGTGTTGGAGTTACAGTGGCACAATGAAATAC